GATTGATGAATATTTTTATTTCTAAGAATTTTAATGGCCTTTCCTGAATCTTTGTCTACTTGATGTTATCGGGAATGTGCATCTATCTCTCTTTTCCTTTCAAACCATGGCAAGAACAGAAATCTGTCAAAATCCTACTTACCCTTTACATGCCAGTAGAACTGCTATACCCATGTTTTCTCCTAATCAGAAGGGAATTGCTTTGTTACCTGCCTGCCTTAATCTGAGCTCTTTGTCCTTTGAAGCTATAGTTTTTAGGTGTATAATTTTCAATAATTAATTGCTGTTTTTCCTTAAAATCTTTTTAAGTGTCCTCAAAGGGACCTTAACTAGTTCCTTTAGTAGAGCAGCAAGTTTCACACACTGCTTTTTAAAACTACCTTCATTTTGAAAGCAACTCTGTTCTGGTCCCTGAAAACACAATTTGAAAATCATTTGGATGTACCACAAACACTCTGATATAAAATTACTAAGCAGCTTATTCAATCTGTAGTACTTTGGTTGTCATTTAGCAGCCCTTTACATAAAGAAAACATGCATCCTAAATTATAGGATGTAAAAATATTTTTAACAGTCAAGGTGTTATCTGCATGTCATATAACTGGAAAATAAGAAATTTAAAAGTTTTATCTTTTTCTTTTGCTTTAAAGCAATATGAAAAGTAGAAAGAGTTGAGGAAACAACAAAATCAGAAATAAAATGCATTTAACTTTGATTAACATTAGATATTAAAAACAGATGAGACTGTCAGTGCCCTCTATGTATATGAAAACACAATAGTATTTATGTAACAGCCACATGAAAACAAGCTTAGAGAACTCACTTTGAGGCCAGGTGCAGTGGCTTACACCTGTAATCACAGCACTTCGGGGAGCCAAGGCAGGTGGATCACTCACTGAAGTCCAGGAGTTTGAGACCAGCCTGGGTAACATAGCAAAAAACCCCGTCTCTAGAAAAAATAAAATAATTAGCAGGACATGGTGGCATGCACCTGTAGTCCCCAATACTTTAGAGGCTGAGGTGGGAGGATTGCCTGAGCCCAGGAGGTCAAAGCTGCAATGAGTCATAATCACGCCACTGCACTTCAGCCTGGCAACAGAATGATACCCTGCCCCAAAACGCAAACAAAACAGAGTAACAGCTGACTTTGGATGGATAAATTGGATAATAATTAAAATCTTTTATTCATACTAGTAAAAGAAAAACTGTAGACAAAGTTAACAGAGTTTCATCGAGCAAAGAACGATTCCTGAATGAAGAGTTTCAGAGACTCCAGCATTGCCATTGATGGAGAGGATTTACGGACTGAAAACGGAAAGTGTGGCACAGAAACAGCTGGATCGGTTACAGCTCATGTTTGCCTTATTTGAACATGCTTTGAACAACTGGCCGACTGTCAGTGGTTTCAGTACGGCCTCTGTGACAGGCTGAGGCTCAGCTTTTTGTTACAAGAGTAAGTTACAGTCTGTTTACACATACAGTTAGGTTACAGTTCTCTATGTAAGGATAAACCTTTAGGCTGAACTTACAAGGAGGGAACTTTAGGCCAAATTTAATTTAACAATACCTAGGTGAGAAATTATCTGGGATTTACCTCAGAATTGCCAATGCATTACCCATAGATGATCTTTTCATTCCAGAACATTATGTTAAGGTCTTTACCAACTATATTTTCTTCATTTCTCGATATGTATTTTTTTTTTTGAGATGAGGTTTGCTTTTGTTGCCCAGACTGGAGTGCAATGGCGCAATAGCAACTCACTGCAACCGCCACCTCCTGGGTTCATGCGATTCTCCTGCCTCAGCCTCCCAAGTAGCTGGGATTATAGGCATCATCACCATGCCCAGCTAATTTTGTATTTTTTTTTAGTAGAGACGGGGTTTCTCCATGTTGGCCAGCCTAGTCTCAAACTCCCAACCTCAGGTGATCCGCCCTCCTCAGCCTCCCAAAGTGCTGGGATTATAGGTGTGAGCCACCATGCTCAGCCAATATATATCAAAATGGCTTCCAATACATTGACATCACAAGGATTTCTTTTAAAATATTTCAAATAACTTTTTCAAAAGATTTCTGTGTATACTAATAGAATGTTATATGCTTTCATAGGGATTATCAAATTCAAGAAAGAAACTGGTTAATTAAATTAACCTGGTCACATCAAGATTGTTTCTCCTCTTTTAGCTTAACATTTGACATGGCTCAAATATAATGAGCTCTTGTGCCAAAGCCCACGTTTAAGATTAATATATTTCTCATTTGAAACAGCAGTGTGATATAAAGTTTGCTGAAATAATGAAACCAAGTTTCTAAATGAAAACCAAATAATTAAGAAGTAGTGAGAAATGCTTCACAAACAGAAATGTAATAAAGATACATCAATGGCTCACTTCTGGTCTCAGAAATACCATATTCTGACCTTTTCTTGATTCTCTGAAGTTCTTTCAAAATGCATTTTGCATTGACACAATTCAGTTCTCTTTTTAACCCATTAGTGTCATTCCAGCTTTTGTACCTACCATTAGTCTTCTTTGTCTGTCTTTTACAGATTTCTACAATAGCTATAAATAAGCAGGACTTGGAAAACAAAAAAAGATAAAACTGGTTCAGCAATAAGCTTTTGCTTTTCTTTTTCTGGTGCTTATAGAGGATTTAGTTGGTTTTGTCATTTTCTCCCTGTGCTATAGACCATGAAAACAAAACCTTTAAAGCTCAAATGCAGAAACTTGGCTGGAGAAACAAAGAATTGACAACTCTCAGCAATGCAATGTTAATTGGCATCTCAGAGATTCACTTTCCATCAGAAGGGCCATTGGTACTGATTCTTTCCAGAAAAAATAAATTCGTTAAGTACATTAAAAGAGAGAGAGAAAAAGAGAGGATGCTAAGTGGTCTGATTTGATAGGGAAAAACTCAAATCTTCTTTTCAGTATTAGTTCACAGCCAGATGATTCCTTGGGCTCTTATATATTGAGAGAGAATTCTCCAAGCGTTTCTCACATTTCTGCACATCTTGCAAACAGATGCACTGACAAGTTTTGTACTGGGCAATCTTTTTGAGATAGTTACATAGAGAACAGCCATGGGAGATAGACGACTGTCTTCCTCCAGAGCAGAAGGTAGGCGTGTTTACTGACAAGAATACTGGGATAAAGTTTAAGCAGGTTTCCTTGTGGCTCATTATAAAAGAATGGGGTTTCCCTAGTTTGGGGTATCTCAGCAGAGACAGAAACATATTGTCTGCACAGTATTCATCTATATCTGCTTGTATTGCCCTGTGGGATCTGGATATCATGAGGAACCAGTAGGAACATGAAACTTGTGCTGCTTAATCTGACCTGAGTAGCAAAGCCTTTTTTGTCTCTGACCCAGGAGTCTCATATTTTCTACACTTTTCTATAAATCTGTAGCAGGCTACCTTGTCAACTTGCAAGCAGGTTAGAATCTGAGACCCTTCACATTTGAATACCATACAGCCATTTATAGACATCTGACGCACCAACTTTCCTCAAGGATCATAGATTTCTAAAATTTGCTCATGAGGAAGTGTTGACCCAAATGTTTGGAGACACGATGTTGATTTATTCTTTAGTTGTTTATATTGTTTAATCCACATATTAGAAGAGACTAAAAAGACATTTTTAATGGTGAGACTAGTTTTAATGAAGCAGTTGCAACATATTTATGGTTAATATATTTTGTGCAGTGGTTCTGTCCTTCCTGGTTTGTGCTTAAGTCCTGGCTCCTAGCAAAAGAGACTTTAAGTGGCATAAAAATATATTCAGAAAGCCCCATTGGGAAGAGTGTCTGAGTAGGGTTTGTCACAGTTGTTAATAAATTCTTCCTGTTTATAAATAGACCAAGGAAAGTCAAAGAGGTGACTGACCATTAGCCTGACACTCGGCTGGCGCAGGCATACAAATGCACCGATTCTGGATGGCTGCATTAGTTGTATGACAGGCACCAGTTGTTTATTTCTGTCATTTCTTCTGATGGTTATGCACCTATACTACCTTTTGTCTCTGCTATCACAGTGCATTTTTTCTTATTCTTTGTAGGACAGTCAGAGTTAGGTACACATAATTTCAGGACCTCTTGCCACAACATTCCATCTAAACTCACAGCATGCTGAAACAAGGAGGTATCAGAAAACTGGCAAAGAATCTCCGGTAGAATGAACAACCAATGACAATTAGAAGGGATTCTATTCAAGGGTAATTAGTTAATAGTATTATGAAACTGAGGTTATATATAGTAGATTCAAACTGATTAAAAGCTGCTAAATCATACCATTATTAGAATGAATAGGTAGATATTTAGATAAACATAAGAATACGATACTAGTGGAACGAAATAAGAGATTCCTTTTCTGTTCCAAATGGATGAATTATTTTCTAGTATTCATTTACTCCAAGAATATAATGATCTTAAACACAGAAATAACAAAGGGCGCAAGCAACATGCTAGGCGAAGATAAATGTTATTCACAGCATTCTTTCATAAAGTTATGATTAGCTCTATTTGCAAATTAAGGTTGGTACCTCACATGGATCTACTAATTGCAAGGAGCTAACAAGAGGCAGACCGCAGATTTAAAGCCAGGTTTCTCTGATGCCAAGGCCTCATTATTTTAACCAGTTGTAAGGATTTAAAGAGATGGTATGAAAAGTACTTAGCACAGTGTCAGACATACACTAAATAACTGAATGCTATTACTGTTGATCATTTTAACAATTTAGAAAAATGTCAGCTGTATTTAAGAGTCAGATTTTGCGTTAGCACAAGAAGTCCTGTTAATCAATACGTTGATATTTCAAATACTTACACCCATTCAGACACTGGAATGTCATGGTCCAGGTATTAACCAGTGACTAAAATCCTTAGAGAGCTTATAGTTCAGCTGGAGACAAGCAGGAATACAAACAATTTCAAGGCCATGTTTTCAGAGACATTTTGGTGAGGTTAATACAATTACTGTAGAAGGACAAAAAAACACACCTACCTGGTTTAGGGAAGTTTAGTATCAAGGCAGTTTCCTCGGTGGTTTTATTTTAGTTAGACACACCTACCTGAGAAGAGTTGGTTGGTTCCTAGGTACAGCAGCTTGTTCTGCAGAAGTCTGTTTGCTGGGGCAGATCACCGTCTCTAGGACTTCTGAACAGCAACACCTAGAAAAACCAACAACATCAGTGCATGTTGGAGTCCTGTTATCTGACACTCTCAAAGTTAGAATTAACTTCTGTAGCTGACTTAGGTTGTTCCTTAAACTAGTCTTCAGCAATGAACCACATATGGTATTTTCTTCCCTGGGTTTGCCAACATTCAAGAATAAAAGAACAAACAACTATACTATTACTCCTAAATTGTACATCCAAAATGAACTTTAAAAAATACCTATAAGAAATATATTATTTGTACAACCAAATTTGAGAAGAAGTAATTTATGACTTCAAAAACTTGCTAAATCCTTTAGGACTAAGTAAACACAAAATATTTATTATGCTCTAAAGGCACATCTCAAACTCCCTTGAGCTTCTCTGCCTGTAATACCTGCATTCAGTCTGGAGCCAACTTAAAGGTAGAACAAATCCCCCCGAGACCAATGAATTTGAAGAGAATGCTAATTATCTTGGGGAAGGAAAGGTTCTAAAGCCACATTTTATCCTCTCTGCTTTCCTCCAATCTCTCCTAAAAGAGGGATTTGAAAATGAGCACTGCCCTATCCTTTGTCTACTTTTTGAACTGGAACAACTGCAAGAATTTGCTAAGGGTTGAAATAGCAAGAAACAGAGAAAGGATAAGCAGACCGTTAAGCCCTTTATTGGTACAAAAGTCACTCTGGGAAGCCCCATCCTTTATCCGTGAAGTGTACCATAGCAAGTATAGGAAATAAACACATAAATGTAAGACTGAATCTGAGCCACTGTGGAAATGCAACACCAGGCCCATCTTTCTACAAACAAGTACCCAATTCTGTAAACACGGCACAATCCTGGAGCTGGGGCTGACATTTACTTTGCTTTTGAGGATACCCGAAACTTCTACAAACAAAGAGATAAACAAAGAGCATAGGCCCACAAATGTTCACATTGTTAACAGGAAATTACAGCCTCAGAAATGATTTTCTTATAACTCTAGGATATCAACAAATGAAGGTTAGTAGAAGTAGAAAAACTGAATACCTAGATGATGTTAAGGAAGCAACCAACAGCAAATTAAGAGGCTAAAAGCCATTTCATACATCTTATTGTTTTCCTCTTAAAAAAAGAAACAAAATCAACATGTATTCCATCTGTGGTGTACAGGCAGCAAACACCATAAATGCCTGATATTCTGGACTGAAGCCCTGGCTCCTGTGAGCACAGGAGAAGCTGCAGCCGACTCTGTACATTTAGACAGAGGGGATGAATTGTGCCCAAATCAGCGTGCACCCATCACTGCCAATGATTTATGTCCCTGAATGTTTAACTCTTCAAAACAGGTTGACTAGATGAATATTTGTGTTTACCTTGGAGGTTTACACCACAGGATTCCTGAAGGGAAATGGGACAGTGGAAATGAAAACTGATTAATTCTGATGTGAGGGGCATCCTATGCAATGGAAATTAAATCTTGGAGCCTTGGGGACTGCTAGTTTCTTTAGCATTTGAATAAAATTGGAGGTTGCAGAGGCTTTTGTGAGAAGTACAGTCTGGCTTCTATAGGAAAAAAGGTTAAATGTTTTATTTGTCCTCAACAGTTATTCTTTTAATGATCGTAGATTTTTCACAGGAATTTTCTTGAAAAGCTTTCACTTCCTTGATAAGTATGGAAATGTGCTCTTTTAAAAAGTAAAATGTTCTCTGCATGCTTGTCTATATAAGAGAAACACACCTTTTCAGGGAAGAACAAGGTAAGCTCTCTTTGCATGAAGGAAGGGACCTACCATTGTGGAAAAAGCATTATGTGTCCTAGGCACATACTGATGTAATAGAATATAGCAGCCTGACAAATTAAAGCGACCGTGCTATTAGAACAAGTCTGCCGGTTATTATATTTACTATTACAATCATTGGGCCTGAACATAGTGGTAGTACTAGCATTTGGGCACATGCTGTCTCAGGCCTTATAGAACAGGCACATTATATAAATTATTTCTTATCCTCACAATAACCCTAATATATGTTGTTATTCTCATTTGACAGATGGGATACAGAGTTTAAGCAAGAGTTTTATATCTTTTTAAAAAGTTCAACTTGAGGAATTAAGCTTCACAGACAGAAAACAAAGCCAGAAAGAAGTGGAGTTGCAAAAATTGCAATAAGTCTGTCTCCTAAGATGGTGTAGCAGTGATACATCTGGAGATTTTAAGCCTATAAACTAAGGAATGCAAGCATTGAAATTGTATTTTTTACAAAACTGAGTTAATTTTTATTAAAATATGGAGAAATGCTATTTTTCTGGTACCAAATCCCTGTCCATTGGCTAGAGTTTCATCTAAGAGCTGGGGAAGAGGTGTCTACACTGAAAATGACTAACAGGGAGGGGAGTGGTCTGGGCATTGATGGATAATTCATGCAGGTTGGCATTAATAAGCATACCCATTCTCTTTGGCCTTCAGCCATTAGGAACACAGGTAAATGATTTAACCTACTGGTCTGTGAGCCAGGGTCTGTTGGCTGTTTGTGTGAAGAGAGTGAAGAGAGAACATCCTTCTTCTGTTCTCATGTTGCAGAAGCTCTGTGATCTGCTTCCATGGCTCCCCATAGACATTTTTCTACGTTCCACTGTGAGAATGATTCCAGACTCTCTACTTAACTGGGAGTTGTGCTAACAAGTCATGATTTAAGGCAAACTAGTAGCTTAATGAGTACACAGCTGGCCTGGTCCTATGCTCTGTGAACCCTACGAAGAGATGTATCAAGCAAGACGAGTGCAAGACACCATCTCATGTTAAGAATGGCATGCTATCATCTGCTCCCCTCCACTCCCGGCCCCCCAGAGAAACATCTGCTCTGGTGAGAGATTTTAAGCAGAAATTAATATAGAATTAAATGAGAGGAAATTGAACACATGTCTCCTCATGCTGGCTCATTCTAGAAAATGAAGAAAGGGCATAAAGAGGCATTGAGGCTAAACTACTTTGTGGAATAATGGAACATTTCAGATCAAAGTCAAGACGACATACTGCACCTACTACCCCTTAGCTGTTTTGCCTATGAAAAGTTTCTAAACCTTTTGATACTTCAGTGTACTCACTTGCAAAGGGGCATCATAACACCTTCATTACAAGAAAATTTAAAAGTATGGGTTAAGCTTGTATTGAGCTTTCATATGTTAGGTACTCTTTGAAAAGCTTTATGCATAATAACTCATTTAATTCTTATCCCAACCACCTTAATAGATGTTATTAGTCCTGCATCACAGTAACCACAGTAGAGAGATATTAAATAAATTGTTCAAGGTCACATGACTAAAAAGTGGCAGAGCTCGAATTCTTCCCCTGGAAATTTTGTACTACAGTTCACATTTTTAATCCCTCTACTCCATTACCAAGACTTCACCACTAACTATCAGTATAACTCACTGTCAAAATCAGGATCCTTCTGAGTAAAGATGACACTATAACACTGAGACAAGATGTACAGAGATTGCTTCCCAGGGAAACCAAAACATAAGAGCACCCTAATGATAACATGAACTTCAATACTTCACATAGGCCCTGATTTCCAAAACAGAAAAGAAGTAACCTAACATGACCAAGGAAATAATCTGCAGTTGTATTTGTTTCACTGTATCCTACAGATGGTGAGGTTTTCATCCAGAAAGTAATAGAAACAAAATTAAGTCACATCTTGGTATATACTTATGGCCAACTACTATATCACATTTTTCTTCCACTTTCAACCTGCAATCACTGTCTCCCACCCTGTTCTCTTTTACCAAAGACCTTCTGTGGAGAACATCTTTCTCAACATCTTTGCAAATGACACCACTAGTCTACCCGTAAGAGATCAATCCAGGTCTTCACTGAAAGAAACCGGTGAGGCCTCACTGCCAAAGTGTTTCCCATTGAAGTTTCCCCTTTATTTCTCCCCTAAAGAATTATTCATCATCCAACTGGGAAGGCCCTCCCTCTCAGTAATCAGAGTTTTGTGGCAGATGGGACAAATAAGGCTGCACAGTGAAAGGCTGAATGGTGCTTTTTGGTTCTCATTGTTGTATTGCTATTTTCCAGGCATAGCTCACATTTATTTAAGCTACATTGTTACACTGATGACTCACAATCTGTCTAGCATTCAAAATAAATCAACCAACATCAATCAATGCATATGTATTGAACACCTGTTTCAAGTGCACACAGAGTCTGACCTTCCTTTTAACACAGCAAATTATTCTCCATTGTACTGATGAAGGGTTTGCTTTTCCTTCCAAGGTCCACTATTCTGTCCTTGCCCTCATTGAGCCCTCAGTTAGGTTGCCTTGACTTCCTGGCCAGATCAACAAGGGCATTTCAATTTTGATCCAGGCTTTCTGGATGCCAGCCACTCACCCATATCTTTAAGAAAATAAAACAATGTAATGAAACTTTTTCTTACTGACTCTCTACCTCACTCGGTAACCATTCACAATCCTAAGTCCAGAAATAGAGGGCCTAGGGCAATGTTTTCAACATAGTAGGTGCATCTGTTAAATATTGCTCCCAAATTATCTTAAAACATAGTTGCTTGAAGTAATATGTATTGTATCACACAATTTCTATGGGTCAAAAATCTGTGAGCGGCTTAGTTGGTAGGTCTGTCTCAGAATTGCTCATGAAGTTGCTGTCAAGATGTCTGCTAGGGCTTCAGAATTCTGGATGCTCAACAGGCACTGAAGAGTCCACTTGCAAGATGGCTCATGTGGCTGTTAGCTGAAGGCTTCAGTTCCCCTTATTTGGACTTCTTTATAGGGTTGCTTAAGTGTCCTCAGGACATGGAAGTTCACTTCCCCTCAAAAAAGTGATCTAATAGAGAATACCAGAAGGAAGACACAGTGCTATTTTATGGCCTTGCCACATACTGTAACTTCCACTGTATTCTATTCACTAGATGAAATCACTGGGTTCATTCAGCCCACATTCAAGGGAGAGAGGAACTAGGCCATACTTTTGTAATGAAGAAAGTCAAAGAATTTGTGAACATATTTC